GTTTGGAAGCCGAAGAGCTTGAGAAGGGTTTAGCAGACGTGACTGGCAGCTGCAGAGGAAGACCCTCAGCCTCACCATGCTACTGAGGAAAGAACCAGGGTCATGGAGCCTTGCAAAGCCCAGGTGCTGCGTGTGGGCGTCTGACGTTGCAGTGCAAGGTAAGGGGGCAAAGCCCCGAGAGCAAGGAGGCTGCGGGGATGGGTGCACAACAGAGTGATAGGTCGGGGGGGCTACTTATATGAAAAAGATTGAATAAATCTGCTGAGGAGACAGGAAGTTAAAAAGCCTTCAGAAGGATGCACCTCAAGTTTTTTCGTCTGAAGGCCACGTGGCCACAGGGAGGTGGTGGGTGGCTCACTGGCGTCCCATGCCCTCATGTCTCACGACTCCCCGGTGCCTCTCCCCTCCTCCAGCTGCCCCATCACCCTCTGCCCAGGTCTCCTATCCCCTCCATGCCTTACCTGGACACGCTCTTCATCACTCTCTGCCTCCCTTTATCCAGCTGGGGAGACACTGCGCACACTACAGCTGGTGCTGGCTGGCCAGCAGGTACAGGCTGCCGGCCACCTGGTTTCTGCCTCTTGGACCTGGGAATGGATGGAAACCAAATCTCCTCTTCTCTACAGACACTAAGGTCTCTTTCATCTAGCTACTAACATCGTTGGGATGTTTGTAAGAACTTAAATACCTTTGTGATCTCTGTCTTCATCACGCATGGTTTATGATCAGCTGATGGGGTTGAAACAGTTAGGGAGAGAGCAGATAAATGCACAGATGGCTTCTTTAGGAAATCTAGCTAAAACCGTGCAGTGGCTTTAAACTTTGGAGCTGGTAGCTGTCCTTGCCTAGCCTAGGAAGGCAGCTCAGCCATGGAGCCTTGCTCCAGCCAGGAGTTACCGTCACCTCGAGCACGATCTCCGGGAGCAGTGACACCAAATAAAAGGTTGCAGTAGAAACTTTAGACCTCCAGTCCTCCTTCCTGGCTCTCTCTGACTGCCCTCCTGCAGGACAGAGGGCCACGGATCATGCCGTGGGGTCCCCTCCCTTCTCCATGGGGCTCCCACATCTGCAAGTGCTTCATGGCGCGTCTTTGGGAGCCATGGTCGCAGGCTGCACGCAAGAGGGAGAGCAGCTCTCAGCCACACTATTAATATGTCGGAGATGGTTTTACAGTGGGGAGGGTTTTAGTCCCAGCTCCTTTCAACCTGTGCTGGGGTTTCCACTGACTTTCCCCCGTTCTCTCCGAAAGCCCGTGCCACTCTGGCTGGGTGAAGCCCCGACCTCGCTAGCCTTTCTAGGCATTTGTACATGCCGTGGTGAAGGGCCGCTCAGCTGGGGAGGAAGCACAGCTCCTGCCCAACATGGGGAAGTGAGAAACTGCTGTGGAAAGTCAAAGAGGGCAGTGAGGAGAATCAACAGGCAACACCCTCCCCACCCCTCACCCGGGTCCCCATCATCATCCCCATCCCAAATAAGATCGAGGCCCTCAGGAGGGTCCATAGCTACTGGGGAGGCTAAAGTAGCGGGAGAGGTAGCCTGGGAGTTTGGGCTTCTTGCAGGCCTGCCCATCCTCTGCTGCCGTGTTTTGCCGTGATGACTGTGGCCAGCGGGCATGGGGAGTGAGGGAAGATGGACAGGCAGGCCAGATTGCAGTGGTGGGGTTGGGAGTTTGTGGATGGAGGCTGATTTTTAGGGCTCTGAAAAGCAAGAGCCTAAAGGGCTTGCAGAAGCCGCTGGCCTATAGCCCCAACCCAGGAAAGACTGATACTGGCCTGGCCTCTGGATTTTTTGAGGGGTTTTGTGGGACTAATTGGACACAAAATAAACGTGTTTGACCAGAGCTGCTGGCCTGGAAACTTTTCCTCTTTCATCTCTCTCCACTCTGCTTCAGAGTTGGCTGGAGGAGCCTGGCGTCCTCCAACTGTTCCTCCAGCCAAGCCCCCGCAGCCAGCAGTGACACCAGCCTCCTTCTCTGGGGAGACATGTCCCATATACAGTGAAACAAGGGGTCTCTTGTGCTGTTTTCTCCCAGACAGGGTCTCTCTTTGCACCCTCTGCTCCCACTGAGCAGCAGTGGGCTTTTCCCTCACCTGCCACCCTTGGGCTAGACACTGCAAGGCAAGGCAAGGGCACTCTTCCCCCCCAACTGGAGCTGTCTCGGCCAAGCAGGAAGCCATGCGAACAGGACGCGTCTGTGAAGCCTGTGCAGGCGAAGCCTCTGCAGCTCATGCCCTTGCCGTACTCGGCCAGGCTGCCACACCGGAGAACCCTGATGCCAGCCAAAGGAAAGACTAGGCGCATCCCTGCATAAACTCCTGAGAGTCAGAAGAGAAGAGTCATGGATTTACACTTTATTTTTTAATTTCTACAATGATATTTGTTTCCTTTCCCAGACAAAATGGACAGCCCTATGTGCTGTAAATAAGGAACGAGAAGCGTGTACAAAAAGAACTGCAACATGAGACAAATGTTTCCCAACCAGTCAGGCAAGGAGGCCATGGAGGAGGGGAGGATTACCCTCACCACGCTTGACTAAGCCAGGCAGGCAAGACCATGGGGAAACTCCTGCATGCCATAATGGACAGAGGGATATGAGGGATGTTTGCTAGCTGAAGAACCCAATGTGGATCGGAACGCTGCTTTTGTGAACTGCAGATGCCCAGAGTCCCATAAAGAAGACATATCGCTGAAGCTTTAGAAAAAATAAGAGCAGAAGCCCTTACCTTAGCAGAAAGAGGGTCTTTTTCAACAGGATTTTTAGACAGGGCATACTTTGGGAGTTTTGTTTTCAGATCTTCACCCCATTCAGGGATGCGCACTGCATCCACAGCTCTCAGCCATAGCAGTTACCAGGCAGGAAACGGAAAAGAAATGCATTACAGTCCTGCTCCCGTTTGCTGCCTCTCATGAGCAGTCTTTCTTCCAAATGCCAGAATGTCCCCCGGGACTGGCCTTGGTTCATTTCAAAACTATTTTCCCCAAACCAGATGTGCAAAGCTTGCTAGAAGGCGCTATGAACAGCTGAGTGCGGAGCACAGAGATGAAGAGACTCCTGATTTGTGCTGAGATGACTTCTCTTCTGCAGTAGGCCATGGTTGCTGTCAGAGAGCTGCTGTGGCTGTTGCGGAGTAACAAGAGGATTGCTGGGGAACCAGACGCTGGAGCCTCCACAAATCCTCTCGACTGAGCTAAGCCAGATGTTCAAGTCTGAAGCTCCAAGAAAAGGTTGCTGGGCACTTGGACTGGCCCCTGCAACACCCCCAGCCATAAGGCAATGAGACTGGGACCAGGCTCCCCCTCACATCTTGAACCATGTTAAACATTAGCCAGATTGAGGTGCACCTCAGTCAGTGCATTTAGGATGGCCATGAGGAGGTCAGAGAGATGAGTTGTGGTGAAGAGGGGGGGCCTCTGTGCCCTGTGGCAGCTTCTGGGGTTCACCTTATTGGATTAACATGGTGAAACCAGCTCCAGCATCCATGGCAGGGGAGAGGAGGGAGACATCACCCATTAATATAAGTGGTCCTTGAGCTCCAAAGAGAGCTAAGGCTTGGGCTAACATACCTTTGGAGAGAGGCATCTTCCTGTTGTCAGAGGGACACTCCCTTGCACCGGGTGTCACAGATCAGTCCTACAAAGAGCTGTGGACCTGAGTGCTCCACTGGGTGAGCACGGTAAAGTCCTCCAGTTTCTGAGGAGAGCACTCTAGCCAGGGTCTGCCTTTGACTCCAGCCCTAATGACTGGACATCCTTTGACAGTGAGGTCCAGACATTCATTAACAGTGAGGTCAGGTGCTTGAACTGGTGGCGAATCTAGAACAAAGCTGGAAATCAGTCACTAGCAAGACAGGAGCCTCTGTCGTAGAGCTCTCTCTCCTTGCTTGGCTACATCTGCTCTGCATTCCTTGCCTCTGAGGCAAGGAAGCCACCTTTCTGATGGAAGAGTTCACTGGGACTGCTGCTGGGATGGTACTTTATGCAAATAAAATGCCTCAGGCACTTCTACTTTTCTAATCACCCCCATCAGGGCCAGCAGGATTTCTCACCGAAGCCCCGTTTCCTGGGCTTTATTTACACAGGAGAATTGGTTGCTATAATTATTCTGGAACAACAGTTCTGCTACAGCTGTTCCAATGCCATTTAACTACACTGGCAAAATTCCCTTATGTAGATAGTGCAGCAGAAAAAAAGTGAGTGCATTCTGGACTAATGGCTTCATTTTCAAAGTAGAGTGCTTCCTGCACAATAAAGCCACTTCTGTGTGTGCCCATATGTGAACTAGAACATCTGCAGAGAGGACATGTCCTGGGCCAGCACTGCTGGTCGATTCTCACACACAAGCAAGCCCTTAAAGACACTCACATAAATTAAGTGATCCTTCCTACGCTCACATCATTCCCTGCCTGGTTTTATGCAGCATGGAAACATCCATCACTGTGAGTCCTGTCATCACAAGTGACACACAGTATTTTTGCAACGACTGTGAGCAAAAGTGATGGTTGTCTCAGGCCATCATGACAAGCTCATACAGCCAGTGCTCCTGCAGACCAGCAGCCTCCATTGCCTGCCTCAGGTCCTCTCTGACTTAAGTGCTTGTAGGTCAGAGCAAAGAGAGATTTTCCCCCTCTTCCTCTCCTCACTCCTTGCTTGGGAAGATAAACTTGCTTTTAGTCTCCTGGCTATCCAGCTGCTGAGGGGGTTTCCCATGACTGCCGTGCCTCGCGGCAGCCAATAGACACTTGCCACAGAGTGAGGGCGTCCGGAGGGAGGAGAGACCTGGATATTACGACAAGCAGAAGACAGGAGAAGGCAGGACTGCGAACAGAGCAGATGCTGGATGAGGCTTGCTCCATATGATCACGAGCCTCATTTTATTGAGGTCAGTAGCTAAGGTCAATGGTATGGGATTTGGCCCTAACATAACTCTCTTTTTCCCCTCCTTTCAGCCCCCTGCCCCTAGGAATCCCCCATCCATCAACAGACCCACCCTGGCTCTCCAGTTCACCCATGCCCGCAACACTGCAGCCTTGTGAATGGCACAGCAGCCCCCAGCAATCCTCCTTCCTCACCGGTCACTTCTTCTCTGCCTCCTCCAGACAGCACAGCCACGGCAGCTATTGGCTCAGCGTAACTCCACATGATCGACAGACTTCCTCCAGTGACTACCGGTTTATTTGGGACTCCGCACAAATGGGAAAGTAGAAAAGGCAACGATCCTAGAAGGCTGATCTCGCTCAAGGCAAAACCTAGTTCTGATTTCAACTCACTTCCACGCAACACTTTATCCACCCAAGGGAAGGAGTCTTGGTGTTTGCAGGGAGAAGCCAGAGAGCTCCAGCCCTGCTCCCCCAGCTTTCATGGTATCTCCTCATTGATGCAGGTCTTCTGGGTGGTTTTGGTGGTGACCAGGGCAGTGGCCCCCAGCTCCGTAGCCGGCAGTGGGAAGCAGTGGTTGCACTCCTCGAGGCAGGGGGACATGGCAGAGAGCAGAATGATGTCGCCGACGGTATTGCTTTGGCAGCACAACCTCTGCTTTGCTGCGTCTTTTCCGGGCGGCCCAGCCACCTTCGGCGCTCCGTTGACATGTGGGCACTTGGCCAAAGCAAGATCATCGTCTGCTGCCAGCGCAGTGGGGTCCTGCTGGACCGGGCTTGACGAGGAGTCGGCGTTGTCCAGGCTTTCTGAGAGAGGACAAGCAAATGGGGTTATTGGGCCTGGGAAGTAGAGCAAGGCAAGGCACCGGGTGCTGGGGGACAAACGCATCCATGGGGGCACATGGGGTGGACATGGGGGCTGTGGCAGAGCAGAAGAGACCCGCACGGTTTTCACAGCACCCCTTCTTCTGGGAACAAAAAAAACCTTTTTTTCTGCAGCCCTATGTATTATTACTCTTTTTCCCCAAATAGTAACGGGGAAATGTAGAAATTTGCACTTGCACTTAAAGCCTTTTCATGAAATAGTACCAGCGGCGCAGCTAGCTAGCAGCGCGTCCCTTTTCGTCTCGCTGTCTTCTGACCGCCTCTGACTTAAAAATAGACTTGTTTACACGCTTGAAGCGCACACGCGTGCTGCTGGCTTGAAACTTTGGCCCTGAAATCTCCTAGAGAAACTTTTTACACCTCACGAATCGAAGAGGTGTGCTTGCAGTGGCTGAGCCTCGGCTGGGGGG